CTTCTTGACCTGCAACCAAACCACCAATATGGGCAATGTCAGCCATTAAAAAGGCATCATGTTGATCTGCGACCTTTCTTAACCTGACATAATCCCAATCACGAGCGTAAGCACTTGCGCCACATATAATAAGTTTAGGACGAAAAAGATTGGCGTTTTCTTCTAAACGATCATAATCAATGATTCCAGTTTCAGGATTGACACGATATGGCATTGATTCAAAATATATTGAAGAAGTGGAAATTTTTTTCTTTGATGTTTGCCAACCATGTGTTAAATGACCACCCGATGGTAAATCCAAACCCATTAATCGATCGTGAGGTTGAATCAAAGCAGTTAAAGCAGCAAAATTAGCTGTGCTTCCAGAATAAGGTTGAACATTCACGCCCCATTCCTCAGAATCCAATCTGAAAGCTTGTAAAGCTCTTTTGCGACAAATACTTTCTACCTGATCAATATATTCATTCCCACCATAATAACGTGCACCAGGAAGCCCCTCGGAATACTTATTAGTTAGTGGTGATCCATTAGCTTCCATTACAGCTTGAGAAGTAAAATTCTATGATAAAAAAAAAAATACAGATGAATTTAGTTGTTTCTTTTTGTAAACAAATATAGTCAAACCTCGTTTCAACGAATTAAAATTAAATTCGCGTTGCAACGAATGTTTAAAAATTTTGCTTCACATATAAAAAGTATATAAAATTCGTTGAAACGCGATAGTAATTTAGTATAACGAATTTTAGATGCAATTTCCCTGTGTCCGTCCCTACAGATTCGTTGAACGAGGTTTGACTGTATATATATATATATATACATATACAATGTACCTCGGATGCAATTAACTCTAAACCAGAGAATTGTCTATATTTTTCTTTTTGAATTAATTCATAAATTTCTTTATCTTCTTCATGTAAAGGAACATTAAGACAACTATTCTGTTATCAAACAGTTACAAGATGATTTAATAAAGTGTATATAAATTTTTATTGAAGTAAAAAATATATAATTTACCCATGAATCAACCATGATTAAAAATAATTTTTACACTAGAAAAAAAAAATCCCAATCTTTTTTTTTTTTTGATAAAAAATAATTAAATATCACGTGTAACATTGGGTCAAATCTAGTCATACATGGAAAAAATTCTATACTATTTATTATTCAAAGAAATCATCATTTTCAATCATTGTTAAATTAGGATCATCAGCTAATAATAAACAAATGATATGATTGTTAATATTAGTATCATTTTGGGATCACGATTTATATAATTATCATAAAAATCATTATTATTTATTATTTATCATTTACCTTTAAAATCTTGCTCTTTATGATGATGTTGCTGTTGATTCTTTGGTTTCTTATTTTTTGATTGATTTTCAATTTTTTGGATGATTTTTAGTTTTAATTCTTCTCTAAATTGTTTATTTAAACTAATAAAATCATTATTTTTCATAGATTCTTTTATTGATTCTCTGATTAAATTTCTCCTTGATATCATTTCTTGATCATCAGCATCTGATGTTGGATAAAGTGATAAATATTTCTTGGTTGTAGGAAAATGCTAAAATAAAATAATATAAAATTATTAATTAAATAATACTTATTAAAGGTTATTTATAGCATTTTAACATCATATTGTTATTATACCATAACATAATTATAATCAATTTTTAATTCTCTTAGCTTTTCTTCTAATTCATTTTTTTCTTGATCATCTTCAGCAGTATCAATTAATTTTTCAGTCTTTTTAATTGCTCTTTCCACTTTTTTTCGATCTAAAATATATTTTGTAAAACTATTATATATAATAATTACATTTTAACCATATTATTTTTAAAAAAAACCAATCTTACCAAAATGTTTAACCATGCGATATTTAGAAACAATTTCATTTTCTCTTGATGAGGTCAACTTTTCAATATAAATAATCTTTAAAGCTTTTAGTTGTCTTTCTAAACTTAACTGTCCTTTAGCAGAAGATTTTTCTGTTGTCTATATACACGCACCCACAGACACATATGGTAAAAATTAGTATCCCGAATACAGTTCAATTCTAAAAAACTTTTTTTTTCTTCTATTAAAAAAGTTTGACCTGAATGTAAAGAAAAATACTCTACTCTTCTTAAGATCCTTTCTGTATCTCGTATTTTCTTTTTTAAAGTAGAAATACTCATATCTTCTGGCAGCTCCGTATCTACTTTTTTGTTTTTACTTCTCTTGTTTATTCTTACTGGTGGCATTTTTGACATAAAATAAAATAAAAAAAAAAATGATCAACAAAAAAAATTAAAATTCCTTGTTATTTAACAACTTGTCAAGAATTAGAAGGGAACTTTATATTCCCTTCATAAATAAAACTTTTGCTACTCCGTTTTGACAAACAGCATGTAGAACTAGAATGGCAAATACACTACAAAGAGTAACAGTTTTCAGAAGAAACATCCATATAACGAACAAGATAGAATTTATTACTACTACAATGCAATGACAGTCGAAACAAACTTGTGATAATTTTCAGATTCAAGAATTGCTACTAATGAAGGTTTTGGTTTTTTACACAATGATCAAATAAAATATATTTAATAACAAAATCAATTTTGAAAGAAACAACTTATATAAATAATAAGAAGATAATAATCTGTTGTTAAATTTGTCTTTTGATAATAATTATAGTGGTTTTTTAACAACAATTATAACATTTCAATTAATATAGGTGAATATGATGATGATGATGATGATGATGATGATGATGATGATGATGATGATGATGATGATGATAATGATAATGATGATGATGATACAGAATCATATTTACAAAATAATATCAAAATTCAGCCTTGTTCTTCAAGAGAGAACTGGAAGTTATGTATATATAGTAATTTTAATATTTTGAACATTGTGCTTCATCTAGTTAACTCAAATAACATCAATTGGGATAAAAATGCAGATCCTCACGACATCAATTCGTCCTAAATTGGATTATACTTGATAACATGCAGTAATATACACAGTAATATATTCTTTTATCCAAGAAATCACATTGATTACATCAAAATCGTCAGGAAGTGCTAATGGAATTTTTTATATTTGAAATATACCGAGATGTTAATTTTTAATATTTGGATATTTGAATGATAACAACAAAGATGGCAATATAAAGAACCATTTTGTCAGAGGTGTAAAGCAAATAAAGTCAATGATAAAAAAGAACATTCTTTAAAAAGATATTGGTCTGATGGAATATTAAGCAAAATAGTTTTTCACATAATAAAATGTTCTACATTTCTCTAGACAGATCCTCGTGGTGCACATCATCTATAAACGTCAAAAATGGTCACCTGACTTTAAAAGTTTATATATAGCGCAAAATTTTTAAAGAAAGAAATTCTAATGGAACTTTTGCAAGGAATCATGGAGATACATGGATCTATATAAGAGTGGAATTATTGATTATTATTCTTTTCTTTTAATTATCTTAGTATTATTTTTCAACTAATTTTAAATTATTATATATAGAAAATCATATAACTCTTTAAATGGTCAATGATTTGACACACAAAAATTTTTTTGCGCTTTGCATAATAAAAAATAATTACTTAAATTGGAAAGATCTACATTTGACTATTGACGTTTATAGATGACGTGCACCATAATACAATTCACCATTACTATATTGAACGTCCACTGTAGTGCGAAAAAAAATTATTGAACGTAGTAATAGTAATAGTAATAGTAAATAATAAATTCGAGTTATTTCTTCAATGAGCTAAAAAATACTTCTTTCAGAAATTAATAATGTCAAAAACAATTTTATTTTATAGAGCAAAAGGTAAATATGGCGCATTCAGTAATTTTTATTCTTCTCCAATAACTATTGATGAGTTCACTTGGCCAACCGTTGAACATTATTTCCAAGGTAGTTTATTGTTAATAATAATGACAAATAAACATTCCAAAAAGCGAAAAATTACGAATAACTAATTAATAACTTCAAGTATTTATTTATATGATTAGCTCAAAAATTTAATAAAGAAGATCAAAAAAATTTGCAAGATGAAATTCGATTAGCGTCAACTCCGCACGAAGCCGCAAAGTTAGGTAGAAATTTCGAAGGTTTAAGAAGTGATTGGAATGAAAGCAGAGATTCTGTTATGTTGAAAGCTTTAAGATTTAAATTTACACAGCATGAAGATTTAAAAGAATTATTATTAAGCACAGGAGAGAGCAAATTAATCGAGGACTCACCTAGTGATAGTTATTGGGGTATTGCCACAAGAAATGGTGTGAAGGGTGAAAATAAATTAGGCTTATTATTAATGATAGTTAGATCGGAGTTACGAAGTGATTTATCTAATATTAATGACGATAAAAATTAAAACATCAATTCTTAGTTATTTTGTTTTTTTGAAAAAAAAACCTTTTTAAAAGTATTTCAAGAAAATATATAAATTAATTTATTCGTATTTTTATTCTTTCTTATTATTGTTGTTGAAATTTGTGGTGATGATGAGAGTTGGTTTTGGTGACGATGATGATGATGGTGATGATGGAAGTCGTCTACTCGAATAAGTTTATTCGAATCAAGCGAATGACATTGAATAATTACTATGCTTATTCGAATAATTTTTATTCGGATCAAACGAATCATTTTGAATTTGAATATTATGTCTACCCGAGACAATTCCTTTTTTGAAACTCGATTTCTGGGGTTGAATTATTCGAATCACTCACATTGAACAATTATTTGAAATGAATGAACGAATAAATTTTTACTTGAATGAATACTTCGAATTACGAATAATTTAAAAACAAAATATTGAATGAGAATATGTGTTTTGAATTAAAAGCAGACTGATTAGAAAGAATAAAAGATAGTAGATTATTTTTTTTTTTTGAAAAAATAAAGTATAAAGCTATAGAACAACTCTGACCCTTGTACATACAATGTGTTACTGGGGTGATTATAACTTCATGGAATGCCATCATTACTCCAGCTACTTACCATGTTGGAGCCAAGCAGCAGAGTTCTGATATAATCCTGGTGGGCAAATCAATTTAACTGGTGGTTCTTAAATACCTACCTGGCTTATCCCTGCAGCATTGATAATATCTAAAATTGAAATAAAAATTTTTATTGTTGATTAAATTCTATGAAAATATGAAAAATTATACACCAGCAGTCCTAAATTCACTTATCAATTTTGTGGTGCATCTTCTTTTCAACTCGCGATGAAGCGATGAATAAGAAAAGTCACCACCAAAGGCAACAATGACATTATGATCAAACCAATCTTTGTTGGAACCAAGGGTTCTACACAAAGTTTCGACATTGCCTTTTGTTTCCAACATGATTATCAAACTTGATGGATCGGAACTTCTTTGCATCATAAAACTCATGCAAGGTAGAATGGTGTTCTTGGGTATATTGAACATGGGTTTAAAAGTCGGAAAATAGTGAGGTCCGTAATGTAGGGATATTATTAATTGAGTTTGAAAAAAATAAACATGTTGAGTTATTTTATTAAATATAATTTCTCATTATTTCTCATTTTTTCTATTGCAGCAAATAAATCTCTTCTATTCCAATCACTTGCTTCCTAGAAAGATCAAGGTCAACTATTCCATATTTACCTTTATCCTTCTTCTTAATTTGATCTGTATTAATATAGCAACAGTACATCCCTCTATATTGGTATGTATTAAACATTCTTCACATATTTCTGATGGTTTGCTAATTTTAGAATGTCAAAAGGCACGTCTGTCTAGATATGCATATGGAAGAAAATTGTGGGACAAGGTCAAAAGGTCACGAATTTGGTTGTTATCCAAAGAATATTGTGAGTATTGGAAAATCATTCCGCCATGAATTTTCTCCATTTAAGGCTTTCTTTGATATATCCGGCCTTCTTACAAGCCTTTCAGATCTTCATTTTTCCAAATTCTTCTTCCTTTGCCTCTAATGCAAACATGAATATGCTTTATTAGTTTCCCATTTTCATGTTTCTGGTATTGAGGATGGAAACGAATAAAGATCTGGAGACATTTTATATGATAAGAGTAAGCTGCAAGTGTATTAACGACCGACTGTTAACGGATTAACGTTATGGACCCATTAAGGATATCTGAATCCTTTAATATTAAGGATTTTTTTTCTTCCAGATTTGTAACGGGTTAATCCATCAAATAGCAAATATTATTGTTATTAACACGATATTAATAGTATATTAATAGATTAAAAACATTTATTAGAATTTAAATAATAAAATTTTTATTTTTATTTAATTTGAAGGATGAATTTATTTCAAGAACATAATTTTTTTAAAAAAATCTGCATGTTAATAAATTACTAGCATCTTTGACTTGGTATAGATGTTGCAGATACAGATAACTATATTTGTGTCAATTTATTTAAGATTTGTCCCATTGATCAAAAATAATTGCAAATACAGCTTTCTCGAGACGTGACATCAATTTTTTTGTGTTTGGATAGTCGTGTGATGAATAGAGGCTTTTCTATTACTATGCAATCAGTTTCAATATTTTCGAAAAAATTATCTTGTTCATATTGAATAATAAAATAAACTAAATTTATCAATGCGGACAATCAATTAATCATAAGGTTTAAGAATGGTTGACGAAATACTTTGGCAGGGCGGGAAATTGGAATTGACCAATTAAACCGATCAAATTTTCATAACCAATGATCAAAGGTATGGTGGCTAAATATTGATTTTATATATCAGTATTTTATTGGTCAATATCAATTGAAGAGAACCTTTAATATTAGTATTAGTGATCATTATGTATAATTAGTTGTAAAAATACAGTTTTATTTACAAAGTAAATACATTATTATTATTAGCAAATTATTATAAAAATTTTTAACTATTTAAAAAAAATATTCAATTGATAATAAATCCATATTTATCATTATCATTATCATTTTAAATAGCAATAAATTGTTGTCAATAAGCAAATTCATAAATAATGTAAATTGAATCATTTTAAAGAACTAATATTCACTAGATCAAAACATTCCAAATCTATTTTCATCAAAATTCAAATTTTGTAAAATTAAAATTCAAATTTAATAAATAATAAAATTATAAATTATTACCATTAAATATTTTAAAGTATTCACTAGATATATATAATATGTTTATTGATGATAATTATTATAATTTATTCAGTTCTTTGAATTAGATGAACTCCACTATCACTCCAAACAGGTCCACTCAATTCTCCAACTTCAAGTTTGAATGCCGCATCTTCAAATGAAGGTTGCATTTGCCCTCTACCAAAAAATCCTAAATCGCCGTTACGTTTTGCACTCGAGCAATCAGATTCGGTCAATGCAAGTTCGCCAAGAGCAATTTCCTTAGCTTTAATTCGTTCATAATAGCCTTTTATCAATTCAAATGCTTCTTCCTTAGTTCGAGTTATCTCTGACTATTATTTATCATTTTATAAATTTAATAATTAAAATAATTTTTCTCATTCTAAAAAAAATTTATAAATATTTTAAATGACCAACTTGTCTCCAAGAACTAGGTCGCCGACTTTCTCTGTGTTTAACTAACAAATGGCTTGCTTTAATTTGTCCAGCCCCACCATTTACCGGATCAATAGTGTTTAACTGTTGTGCTGAATTTTCACTATAACCTTTAATGCTCTGAGGATCTACGCCTCTAGGAAGTTCCCAAGTACTTTCCTTGGTGACTCGATTATAGTAATAAGGCATTTTACGAGAACGAGAAACACGGGTTTCCCATTGCGTTGAAGGGTCAACATCGCTTGTAACAACTTGTGAATTGGTGGTTGTATTTGTATCTCGTGAATCAGTGGTAGTACTAACGTTTTCAGTTGTCTCTCCAAACTTGACATCTGAAGTACTTTCTTCTTCATTCACATTTTGGGTATCATTGTTAACTGCTATTTCTGTATTATGTTTTGCAATTTCGTCATTTGTTTGACTTGCCTTTTGAAAATTATTAATATATACAAACAAGTATAAGGAAAAGATTATTTTATTGTTATTGATTAATTTATCAGTTATTCCATTACTTTCCTTCTACAACTACTCTTACCATTATTTCAAGTTTTTTTTTTTTTTGGTAAATAATAAAAATAGAAAGGGTTAAAAACTTTCCAAATTGAATGTTTATATGTATATATATATTAATGTATATACAAGATCAAATTAATTTATATTTCATGCGATAGAATGTTACACCAGGTTACATCAAGCATAGATCGTATAAATTCATAATGGATAATACATTATTTATTATTATAATAAATAAATTCCTTAACAATAAAAATTTTCAAATTAGGAAATTGAGAAAGATGCAAATGGAAATTTATATGATTTATTTCCAGAAATAAAGAACCATTAATAAGTAAAAACAATTGATTAAAGTCAAAAAATTGGATAATAAATCTGTCACCTAATAAAAATTTGACACGCGAATACAATCTAGAAGTTATCAATTCTTCAATAATTTTATAGATTTGTTATACAAAAATATATTTGAGCTTTGTTTTTATTGTTAAAAATAATAATGATAATATCTATTTGAACATAATTATATTATTTAATATAATATTTAATGCATTATATTATTTAATATAACATTTAATACATTATATTATTTTAAATCATCAGCACTTCTTATCATTTGACAACAGTATCTCTTTATTATCACCAAATTTCACATAAAATTCACGATCTAGTCTACAATGATTTTCTTTAATAATAGTGTAAGAATCTGTGTTGTTATTTTCTTTGGAAGAATCTTTATTATTAATTCCATTTACTTTATCATCATAATCATCTCTTCCATCGTCTCCTTTCCTTTCCTCTTCCTCTACCACATCCACCACATCTAATATTGCTACTGCTGCTGTTTCTGTTGTTGTTTCTACTGTTTCTACAATTACTACTTCATCTTCACTTGTATTTGGTTGATAATTGGTTGAGGATGATGATGATTGAGAAGGAGATGATGTATGAGGAGATGATAATGACGAAGGAGACGAAGGAGGTGGTGACGATGGTGGAGATAATGCTTCTAAAGATTGAACTTTTTTCTTAAGAATGGTTCTTTCAGCCTATAAAAAAATATTTACTTCTTATCAGTTAAATTAAATTAAAGATCTACAGATCATTTATTTATAAATGTAAATTATACTTGTAATGCACGACATAAATTCTCTAACTTCGTTTGTTTTTTCTTTGATTCTTCTATGGTTTTTTGATCCTTAGTTCTCTATAAATATTATACAAAAAAAAATACGAGAAAAGTGTCATTTCTCAACAATTAACATTATTAACAAACAGTAAACGACATACTTCTTCAGCCATTTCCAAAATATTTCGGTTCATAGTTTCACATTTTCCTTTAACAGTGGCATTTTCTTTTTCAAGTTTTTTAGTTTTTTTATTCATCTACTTTTGAAAACACCTATTAATAAGATAGAATTATAAAAATTGCAAACTTTATAATGACGCATAATAAATATTAAAACCATCAAACCTGTTCCATCTCTTTACGAAAACTTAGGAACAGTTCATTACTTTTATTCAAAGTTTCCTCAACTTGTTTAAACTTTTCTACGTATGTGCTGAGTTGTTTACGTAGTTCAACTTCTGTCTTTGTAAAGTTCTCGACTTGTTCTTTCAAAGAATTTACCTTAATTTTATTCATAATAGATAAACAACTTTATGAAATATACTTTTATTTTTATTTATAAATAATAACAATTATTTTTACCTTTACAATTTCTTGATCTGTCAATTGCTTTTGTTGGTGTAATTTAGCTTCATACAGTTGTAATTCCAGATCTTTGGATCGGACAACACTATTAAAATGTTTTTCACGTAATTCGTACTGTTCCAAAAAACTTCGAAATTTATCCTTTAACCTTATTGTATATTAAATATTAATAATAATAACATTATTATCAATTTTAAAATCTAATTTATATATATCTATTTCTCTCAAACTTAACAATTACATTTCATTATCTTCCGCTCTTTTTTTCTTTTCATCAGTATCTTCTTCCATTTTAGATTTGATTTCCCAAATGGTATTTTCAAATTTGCTAGATAATTCTTCTCTTTTTTGTTGTTCACTTGCTGCCAATCTTTTACTTTCTTCCTAATATATATATCCATCGATAATAATAATATTTATTAATCAACTTTCCTAAAAAAAATGTCACTTTAGTTTAAATTTAAAAATAAAAACCTTGATCCTTTTATTTTCTTTATGTAATTCACGACATATATTTTCAAATTTATGTTTAACAGAATTTGATTTAGCCAATTCATTCTTTGCTAGAAAAAATTATTGTTTTTTTTTATAGATTATTTAAATTACATAAAGATAATCAAAAGACGATCTCATTATTCAATTAATCAATCAGTCTATAAATCGATTACTTGAATCTTTTTCCTTTTGCAACAATTCATTTCGTTTCTTCATCTTTGCGTAATCTCTTTCGAGTCTTTTCATCTCTTGAAACTTTAAAATTTTATCAATTAATTAATAACTACCAATGTAATTACGATCAAAACCATAATCATAACTAAATCGTAAATTAGATAGTTTTCCTTACCAATTCCATATACCTTTGTTGAATTGTATCGATCTTCTCCAATTGATCATCATGTGAATTAATAATTTCTTTAATTTCTTTACTTGCTTTTTTAACAGCTTTAGCTATCAAAATATAAATACAAATAATTTAATATCTCTCTCTTTATCGATATCGAACTTAATTATTTATTTAATTGATGTTGATTATATATCTTACAAATAGCTTTTTCTTCTTCATCTTCAAGTGACGATTCAGTTTCAAGTTGAGAAATTTTATTTTGAATCATATTGTTAAGCTCTTGAGGATCGAGTGGTTTTTTTTTTGATGAAGGGGAAGAGGAGGAGACACTACCGCCACCATTTTTTTTAATATTATTGACAACAATAGTAGTAGTAATATTATTATTGTTGGTTGTTGATGTTGTTGATGCTATAGTTGATTGTAATGTAGGTGTTTTAGCCATCAAATTAGCATTAGATTTAGATTTAGACTTGTTATTTTTAAAAGAGTTGATTTTTTGGGGAACTTGGTCACTATTATTATTATTGTTGTTATTTGATGCTGTTGATGTTTTATTTTTATCAGTTTGAACTTTGCTAATGGTGGCATTGCTTTGAGCTTCCATAGTTGGCATTTTTTATAATAATAATAATAATAATAATAATAATAATAATTAATTAATTAATTAATTTAAAAAAAAAAAATTTTTTTTTTCCAACGAACAAACTAACTAATCAAACCAAAAAAAAGATCTATCAATATAAAAATTTTTTTTTCTTACACTAATAATAATAATAATATTTATTACAATTATAATTAATATTTGATAGAAAGGAATTGCAGGGGTTCAAAATTGTGACACTGTGGGTACCCATCTTTAAAAAATGAAACAAGAAAGCTAGATTTAAAGTTTTGACAGGTTGAAAGTGTTGTTTTCGCTGGCATTTATCTCAAGGTTTTCTTATAACTAGCAGAGAGAATAAGCAAAAACAATGCGAATAAGCGTATTAAAGTGTGTTCTACAAAGGTTAAGAACCATTTGAAGAAAAACTTTGAAATTTTAGTTGAAGTAAAAATAATAATATTATTATTATTATGTTAAATGCACGTAATAACATTCAGAATTATTCAAAATAGTATCTTATTAAATAATCTATTATTGATTTAATAACCTTAACAAAAAAATCAAAAACACATACAAGTCTGCAAATAATAAATTTTTCTCAAGCAATTTTGATAGTTCGTTATATATTGTTACAATAGTAAGGTAACTAATTCAATCAATGAAACTGATCAAGATTTATGCATAATGCATACTATAATCCAAGTATCAAGTCTCTTGCCTTCCCACTTATTTTCATAAGGCTGTTTTTTTTTGAATGCTACAAATACCAAAATTTCCTTGAGCACCTTTGTTTGACACCATGTCTTTTAGCAACAGTGACTTGAAATAGATTACTTTTGACGGACATAACTATCTATATTTTCAAAAGTTGGCTGATAATATTTTCCTTGTCCTTGTCTAATACCTCTTTAATCTCCTCAACATCATCAAAAAAATTCTTCTAGAACCTCAAAATCATGAGTTGCTTCAGATACTGTACCATTATCTATGAAACTATGTACCAAAAAGCTTCCCCTTGACTAGTGTTGTTTGACGAAATGTTACCAAAGTTGTAAACCATTACGTCAAATTCACTGCCACTAAGTCAAAAATGACGCAAGTATAATTGCTTTAAAGGCTAATTCTCAAAAAACTTATAAATATATATTCCAAAGTCTTTTTTTTTTGCTGAATACAAGTTTAGTTCACACACACTCATTTACTATTAAACTCGAACATTCTTTCTTATATTAATTAGTACTAATTGGTACTTGTTCCAGAATCAACTAATTTTAGTGTATAACAAGAATTACCCCAAGACCAGAACGTTATTAAGTATTGACACATAAAAAATAATTATATTCCATTATTTGTTTGAAGGAACAAGAACAGTTAACAATTACAATAAAAAAATTCTTAATTTACAATCTTTTTTTCGTTTTAAGAAATGTAAGAAACTAAAAACCAATTGAACATTACACTTTTAAAATTGAATGAAGCAGAAGAAAAATTAAACGAATTGAAGATAAAGCTAGCAGGAGAGGAATGGGGTGATATTAAAGACAAAAAGAAAAGGGAAACTGAAGTATTTATTCTTGAAGAGGAAAGGGAAGATTTGAAGAGAATGCGAGATGAATGGGGAAAACAGTTGCGAAATTTACAAAATAAAACTACAAAATTTGAAGGTAATGAATAAATTGCATTAAAAAAAAAATACAAAAATTATTTTTCCATTTCGTTTATTTATTTATTTGAGGTATATTTCATATAACTTTGACTAATATTTTTCTTTGGTTATTTCATTTTTAATTAAATATGCAATCATGCATTCTTTTTTTATCCATACATCTATAATTGCAATATTGTTCCTCTGTTTTATTTTTCATGCTTTATGTAGTGCAAAAGTTAGAGTCGAAGCAAGAAAAACACAAAGCAATAGAATTTCAATTATTGTTTGAACAAGAAAGAAGGAAAAAATGTCGTTTTGTGTGCAATTATCCGTAACCTCTCCAAAATATGGAAATTATGGGTTTGGTACGTTTCCCCGACAACCGTTTCCCCGACAGGACGTTTCCCCGACAGGACGTTTCCCCGACAAGACGTTTCCCCGACAGGACGTTTCCCCGACAGGATGTTTCCCCGACAAGACGTTTCCCCGACAGGACATTTCTCCGACAAGATTTTGTTAACTATATTTAATATTAATTGCCTAATAAATGGCCTAACCGACTTAAACAGCTTAGTCGCCTAATGAATGGGTTAATAGACTTAAATGGTTTGATAAACTTAGCCGGCTATGGCATGGCAGGGAAACAAATAAATATTGTAATACAAAATGTAATTGTCGGGGAAATGTCTTGTCGGGGAAACGTCCTGTCGGGGAAACGTCTTGTCGGTGAAACGGTGTCGGTGAAACGTCCTGTTGGGGAAACGGTTGTCGGGGAAACATCTAGGTACCGTCATCACATTATGTTTATTTGAGTAACAAAGGATGAAAGTGAAGAAGGCCCATATAAAGTGTTGTGAGATAGTAAATCTTGGACCCGGTTAATATTGACCAATTAGAGCGAATTTACTACGGAAGTCATGTGATGCGCTAAATATTGTAATGGCTACGCCGCACATTGCGTAGTGTCATATGAAAGATTATTCCTATTCATATTTCTATATTTATATTTATTAACCTACTTATCTGATGTAAATATTTATTTAGAATTAGTAATTAGCTGATTAGCATATTATTGGAGAGTAGAATAGCACATATGGGGCATACTGCAACAAAACCAGACAAAGTGAACATTGGTATTACCAAGAATTTCAGGGATCAAAATTTAGTAATGTGATTATTAAAATCTTCCATTTGTTATCCTCTTAATATTAGATGATATATAGAACTACTCACATATAAAAGTAATAATAATATGAAATTAATTTATATCAGATCTACCATGGAACCCAAGAATTATAGTACTATCATGTAATAAATTGTTTGCTTTATTAGTATAATAACGTTTTTCTTTAAGGAAGGCACTGTGATACAAGATTATTTTATGTGTAACGCGTGCGTTACAATACTTTACATTGTCGCGACCGAAGCAACAGGAGGGAACGTCCTATATAAGGAATGGATTTTCACAATTGATTTCAATTTTTTTTATACAGTTTAAAATACT